AGTTATTAGTGTATATTATTATTATTAAGAATTACTCTCACAAACGGAAATGGATATGCTCAATGACATAGTAAATATGTGACCCTGTACCACAAAACCAGTCATAAGGGTACATTTTTTTGAAATTGATATTTATACATCAATACATCAAGCTGAATAAATACGTTTTCTATTGATGTATGGTTTGTTAGGATAGGACACCCATACAATGTATTGTTGGCTATTGCTACAAATATACCCCAGCGACTTAAGACTGGTTTTCTGCTCCAGAGTCACAAATTACAGTAAATATTATGTAGTTTCACCATACTAATTGTATGGTAGTATAACATCCTGTTTTCAAATTTGAAAAAAAAAAATAAATAAAAAAATACAATAAAAAAAAATCATTAGACAACAGACCACATTAACATAAACCATGGTAATACTATGGTATTCTTGTAAATAACTCAAAATATCCAAAAGTACCACCATTTGTTTTTTTTTTGTTTTTACATTTACCATAGTAATTCCACTGCATTTCTGAAAGTACATTGAGGTATCATCTAAATGGCATGGTACGTGATTGTCAGTACCTTTGTGTAAACGTCATTTTTTGTAAGGGAAATAGCATGGTAATCATTCAGTACCATGGTATACAAAGTTCATGTAGTTTTAAACACGAGTATTTAATACCATAATATTCTAAGTACCATGGAGTGCAGTGTAAACACCATGATAGCACTAATACTTTTGTAAAGGCATCTACTAGAAGGGTTAGACTAACTTTAAAATCAGATACCTTTAATAGCATCTATTCAGTTCAGTTCGCCTACATTGCAAACAAATAACTTGCTAAATGTTTTCCGCTTCGAGAACATGATAAAATGAATTTTCCTGCATTGTAATCAGTGTAGACAAGTATCTCTCACTCTCTATTATTCACCTCAATGTCCTCAAGTCTTTTCTGTAACAGTAGTGACATGTTGATTTAGACAACAAAGTTTTGGAAAAGTCATCCTTGGTTTTATTCTCAAAATATCGGAACGGAAGGGGAACAAACAAAAGCAAACATTTACAAAAAGTCTACACTGTAAACAAGCCTAAAACAGACTCAACATTTGAACAATCATACAGACATGACCCCATTTAACCAAGATCTGACACCACCTTTTTTTTTTTTTTACATCTAGAAAAAAGGCACAACTTGGTAAATGCATATTAGAAAGAGAATGTACAGGAGGAGTCTGCCTATTTTGAACAAGTGTTGTGCAAAGTGTCTGGCGATACATTCATTATATTACAGAAATCAGCAGGTTACGGGGGCAAAAGGCAACCATAACTCCAAACACAATGCAAAAAAAAAAACAAAAAAAAAATATATTCTAAATGAGGTAGAAATTTGACCAGCGTAAAGTCTTTACGGTTTAGATACTCTGCGTGCATACACACGTTCATTCCTTTAACTCAAGAATGCATGGCTACGATCTCAAAAACATTTCCCCACAATACATAATTGGGTAGCAAACAATGACTTTTTCCCAGAATAAGAATGACTGCTGATGTTTTGGGACAAGATATGCATGCCTGCTTAGCTCACAAGTATAAAATGCATGGTAAATGGCAAATTTACAGAATTCTAAAACTCTCTGGGTCCTAAAACAGCAGCAAGCAAGCAAATGAGCTCTAAATGACGAGCCCAAGAAACAAACGTTCATAGAATAAATGGCATACGCCTGGTTTATATCAGATCTTAGTAGAATGAGGAAAAATAAAGTGCAAGGAATGATTAGGCATTTCAATATTATACCGGCCTTTTGACCTCCTATTAAAAAGGTCTCAAATGAAAGCGACTCAATCTAATATTTGATAAAGATCACTGAAAGCAAGAAAACGACAAAATTAAATCACTTTCAAAAAAAGAACAATTAATGACTTCTTGAAAAAGCTATAGCTAAATGCAAAAAATATAGCATATTGTGGTCTAAATAAAAGAAAGGCCTTTATTACAATCCTGTGGTGTCTTTTGTGAGGGCGAGGGGTGAGGAAAATACAGAGGAGCGAGAAAAGCACTCCAAGACAGGCACTTAGCAAAATCATTTTTGGTATTAAGCGCAAAATAGAAACTATATAGAGTCAAAAAAAAAAAAATAATAACTTAGTGAAATCCAGTTTCAAAACAAACCTATACTACAACTACTCATTAAGTCCATCAATTAAACTGTAATCTTCAGTAGATTGTGTGGAACGGTCAATTTATCTAGGCACGTATTCCACAAACACCTTTGTTGTATGACATCTATGCCATGGATATTATTTTTGACTAATAAAAGTTTATTCGAACAACTAACAACAGGACCATGAGTAGTCAAGCAGAGATGAACAAGATGTTGATGGTTAAAACATTGAGATCTCTGGTCACCTGTGGCTGAGATCATCCTGAGGGTCAAAGAGCTGAGCCCAATGTAACGATCACTAATGAGACTGCTCTGGAATAAAGCTATTTCAAGTAAGACTTACATTCAACTTCTAGAAATAAAACTGACAAAATACCCGCATATATTAGAGAGAGAAAGGAGAAGAAAAGAAAAAAAAAAAAACTACAGTAGTTAGATCAGATTCAACTAAAGAAATCGATAGCATGTAAGGGTCCAATAAGGAAGGCATGGCCCATTTTAGGGTATAGGCTAATTTAACAAGGGTATGTAAATTTGCAACGTTACATGTATGAATTGATTGTACCAACTAATAAATAGCCCAGTTCCTAACATTTCAGCAGGCTCATTAGCACAATGCAGACCGTTGATTGGGAACATCTGTAGTCCTTTTACAGTCTAACTCACTTTACCCTCCTCCATAAAATGTGGAAACTTTGCTATGCTGTCAGAACCGTTCTTTTCCATTTCTGCCATTGTGCCAGGGATGCCCATCTGAGAGGTCTCCATCTTGGTTATTCCCCCAGTAGAACCCAATAAAGGTCCTCCAGCGAGACTTCCTGTGAGAGGGATGCCGCCATTTTGGATGACCGAAATCTCATTGGTCTTCATGGTCAGCCCGTTTGTGAAGGCAGCGGCGTACTGGTTCCACATCGACGGGTCGAAATTAATCGGCGGGGGAATCAAATCCTTTGGGAGCGGCAGCAGGTCTGGTTTCATCTGGGACTCGGCGCCCATGGCCATCAAAGCCATTGGGTTATCCAACGAGAGCCGTTGACCTCGCCTTGCTGTGTTATTCCACATGTGGGTCCCAACATGCACCTGTAAAACGGGAAACAAGAGTCGATAAGACTTATTGCAGTATACACAAGATATTTGACTTTCAATCAATTCACTAACAAAATCCAAAGTCGAAAATACATCTTCACCTTAAGGTTTCCTTTTGTTGTGAAAGCCCTGCCACAAATTGTGCAACCGAACGGCTTCTCGCCCGTGTGTGTACGTTCATGGATTTGCAGGGCGCTGGCAGATGAAAAGTTCTTCCCACAGGAGTTGCAGAGATGTTGCTTGGTGGAGCGACGAGGAGCACTAGAAGTAGCAGGAGAAGTGGCAGCTCCTTGGGGCAGCTGGGAGCTGTACAGGCCGTGAGCACCCATGGGTGTCTCAGGAGGAATCTGCATCTCCAGTTTGACCAGACTTGGAGGCACCCTCATGAATGGTAACTGACTAGAACCTAAGAAAGAAGAACAAAACTTGTAGGCAAAACGCCAAGGAGGAAAATGTCAGTGTGATGTTTAGGATGTTGAAATTAAACATACCATATTCGCCACTGGAGAAGGACAGGCCTGGCTCCTCTTTGATTGGTTTCGGGGTAAAACTTGACGTCAAGTCCAGTGCTCCACTGTTTTCGCTAAAATCTTGAGGTGCATCAGAGTCTGGTCTGGATTGGAGTACATCGTCTGGGTTTGTGGATTCTGGTGATTTTGACTGTCCATTACTCAGGGGACCATCTATAGGGGACGAAGAGTGAAAGGACATGGAATCTGACACAGCCGGACTGCAGCCGTTCTTGTAATCCATTTCTCCAGACCCTGAAGGAGAATTTCGCCAGTGTGTGAGCGCAAGTGGATTTGGAGAGCGCTGTCATTTCCAAATGTCTTCCCACAGAACTTGCATTTGTGCTTGAGCATATGTTCACCAGAGCCATTTTTAGACTCAGACACAGCAGGGATCTTATTTTTTGCCTTTTTAGAGGGATCCATGCTTGCTGCAAGGGTATTAAAGGGACTCTGCAATCCCATGACCCCTGGAGATTGAGGAAGGAGCGCTGGAAGTCGACTAGCTAAATCGGGGAGTCCTTTCAAGTCTGCTTTTAAGGGCACTGAGCCCAAACCTCCAGCGAGGGATGTGGGGATGGTGGCTGATTGAGGTAGCTTTGCTTGTTTTAAGGCTTCCAAGGACAAGTTCTGGGAGCCCGGCCGTTTGCCAATGAGGGCAGCTGCGGCCGAAAGCTGCTGTGATAGATGCGCACCCAGTGCTTTCAGTGGATCCACAGCGGCACCCAGTGCGGAGTGGAAGCTCTGAGGTGTCATCATGGCCACTTGGAGGCGTATCTGCTCAGTTAGTTGGATCTGCTGCAGTTGCTGCTGCTGGAGACCGACCAGCTGTTCCAGGATCATTGGGATTGCAAGAAGGGCATCTTGGTGTGGTTGTGGAGACTTCTGATTGGACGAACTGGATGAGTGTTGCGTTACAGCAACTTTAGTAGCAGCCATGGACTCAAGAGTCACATTAGAGTCTTGCAATTTGGAAGATATCATGTACCCCACATCTGAACTACCAGACACATCTTGATCTTGATTTGAGGGGTCATTCTGGTTCAGCATGAGCTCTCCTTCCATCTCCTCAGAATCTGCACTGTGCTTTGAATGGGAATTACTGGTTGACTGATCCCCATTATCACCCAGGAACTCACCCGGAGAATGCTGGGAGAACTCGGAGGGCACTTCATTCCCATCGCCATCTTTCATGATCACCACCTGCTGACTCTTAGTGCAATTTCTCTCATGTTCGAGAAACTCTGCCTCATCGAAGAACTCCGCGCAACATTTGTCGCAAACCCTCGTCTCCTCTGATCGTCGTCTCTTAGCCTCATTGCCATCCTCCTCACCTTGACTGTTGTGCAAGATCCCTGCAGCAAAGAGAAAGTTCGAGAGATGACTTATTATTCAAGACCAAAGGATAATGTGCTGTAAATATGGAACAAATTCTAGACAAATATAATGTTATCAGTACTCACGGTTGGAACACCAGGCATAAAGTGATTTTTAAAACAAAAGCCAATTAAAATTTACAGAGGTAGTTTAATTTTACTTGGGACTTATGTTCTGAAATCATGAATTAAATGGCATATTTGGGTTTTAGTTTGCATAGACCAGATGTTATATAAACTAAAGCTGCTTTTGGAAGATGCCACATTTACAGCTCTTCAGCTAGTCTTCAGTCCCACCAGATGAGGGCAGCATGTTCAAAAATAAATAAAATTCAAATTGTACTAGAAATAAATGTACCAATACAAAGACAAATTGTATATCAAATATAAACTTCCTCCATCTGTTCCCATGTTCCTCTACAATAAAATAAAAATGGCTCATAAAACACAGCACATGCTTAACTGGTGTTCATTGTTGTTAGGCAGTCCTAAAGATGAATAAAAAAATAAAAAAAATGCTGATAACAGTGTAAAGCAGTCAGTTGGTCTTTCTAATTGCAGAAAAAGCAAAGCAAATCAAATTAAGCTGCAGCACCATTGTTAAATGCAAATTTCATCATTTCTTATGAATGGGAAAGACCACCTGTTAACATTCTGACACTGAAACTGGACGTGTTAATTGTTCACTAGACAACTTGAAATAGTAAGAAAACAAAAGTTGCATTGTTCTCAGAGCTAGCAGACAACCAAACAGCACCTCCATTTGAGACAAAGCAAACAAGGATAAGGAAGTGTGTGTGTGTGTGTGTATGTATGTATGTATATGTATGTATATA